AAGTTGGTCATAAAATCAATTAATGAAAGTGTGATTATTTTTTAATGTTGCTACTTCTGCACTTCGCGCCGGAGTCCCGGCAATCCGTTAAGTCTTCCGCGGCTCCGTATCGGCATCAGCCCCGCTGCTCCATCTGTGATGTTCTGATGGCTCTTTGAGGCGCACACGGAACGCGACGCGCCGTACGCTCGGGAACTTTATATATAACCTAGTATATAGATTTGTTTCTTAAATTTAATATATCAACAATTGTACTAATTGGCCAGAATTATATTTAGGTACAAATAGGAGTTGAACTATTTGTAGGTACCTAAGTATAATTCTGGCCAATTTCAGTTAGGTTTGCCTACGATTTAATAGTAATATTTAAAAATATTACTAACTAACAAGCATTCGAATATATTTATAAACGTGGGTGAAAAAAAGTAAACAATTTCATGTTTTTGTATGAAATGCATGGAAAACTGAAACGTGTCTAACGTGAATATTTGCACTCCAGCCAACCTCGCAGTGAAGTATAAATAATTTAATTACTAGAAGAAGCCGTTTTAATATTTTAACACGTTCGAGGACGCTACCACTTGAGTCGGGTTTTCAGAATGACACAGTAAATGTCTATACAAAATTATACGACGTATCAGTACGTAGTGTCCTATAAAAAAATAATGTTTTAAACATATCATGACACAACCGTTTTATCACGTCAACGTGTATACGCATCTTGGTTAGAATCCACCTCGTTGGAGGTGTCGAAATCATCAAACATGTTTATCTTGTGTCCTATTTTGCGCTTATATCCATCTAAAAACACACAATAACCCATTAAATATCAATGTCACTCTGTAAAATCATTAATTTGCATTAAAGTAATATACACAGTGACACAGCCGCGCTGAATATAGGAGTGCGGGACGTATAAACACGTTGTGCATATGTGAATACCGTAACCGCACACTATCAACGACACTTATTTGAAATAGTTCTAAACTTACCCTACGTGACAGTACATTGGGTACTATTTTATATGTTGTGACACAAGATACATTCAAAAGAATTTTTACTTGAACTTTCATCGGAAATGAACGTTCTGCCGTATAATTTAAATGTTATTTCAACGTCATCGTACGTTGTGCCATATTAACCCACTTGTTGCTATCGTTCTTTTAAAAGGTCGATGTATAAATAAAATTATTGTGAACAATGAGGGTATTTATAACATTGTTGTTTCTATTCATTCGACGGGTCTTAAGTGTACGAAGCGGACACATCATTCATTGTTCGTGATTTAATTAATCTTCTATTTTGTATACATTTTTGATTTCAAGGTTTTAACTATGGAGAATTCAAGGTAAGGAATGATAACTATAACAATATGTTATTTTTTCAAGAAGGCTAGAACTTAGTTATATACTGCCTAAATTAAAGTTTAATAGCAATGTCAGTATTTTATTGCCATTACAAATATGTATTTTATTCAGTTTTAATTGCCGTCCTTTTAAACAACCAATAGCAAAATCTGTTACTATCATCTATTATGCGTTTCAGATATCAAAAAAAGTGGTCTCGGCATTTGACGCTAAATGAAATAGTTGAAAAGTTAGAAGAGGATGATGAAGAGGAAGTACCTGATTCCATTATCATTCTGCCTCCTGAAAACTGCAATGCTGATGTCACTGACGAGGATTCAGGTGATGAAAACCAAGTTTCTCTAGACAATTTACCCGGATCTCAGTTACGGGCGCTGGGAGAAGCCTGTTTCCAGTCAGAAAATTGTAGTGATGAGGATGATGACATACCACTCATGCAGTTATCTAAACGCAGACGCGTGGTTTCTACTGAATCAGATCTCGCTTCTCAGTCAACATCCACCATCGAGTCTACGGGTCATATTATAACTGTCTCCAAAAAAAAGACATATGATTGGGTGTCACGGGACATTCGCCCAAGTTTTGAGCCATGGCAACATATGCAGACCACCAGAACTCAATTTAGCCCTTTACAATATTTTCAATTGGTGTTTGGCGAAGACATTATAAATATGTTTGTACATTACACAAATTTATATGCAGCCAAAAAAAAATGCAAACACGCCTGCAAAGTCAGCAAAGACGAAATACTTTGCTTTTTAGGTATTCTTCTTTACAGTGGATATGTGGTGCTGCCTAGGAGATCTATGTACTGGCAAAACGCTGCAGATTGTGGCATGCCTTTAGTATACAACGCCATGTCCAGAGACAGATTCACGTTCATTATGACAAATTTTCACTGCTGTGACAATACAAATCTAAACACCAGTGATAAGTTTGCAAAGTTACGTGTACTGTTTGATTTGCTAAATAAAAGTTTTGTTGCCAATGCACCGTTTGAAGAACATTATAGCATTGATGAAGCGATGGTTCCGTATTACGGCGGTCACCCATGTAAACAGTTTATAAGAGGAAAGCCCATAAGGTGGGGATACAAGTTTTGGGTCGGAGCAACACGTTTAGGTTATATAGTTTGGTTTGATCCATACCAAGGACAGTCAACTGCTACTTCAAACAAATACAAACTGGCTTTGGGTTTAGGTGCAAGCGTGGTCTTGCAATATGCAGATGTGCTGCAAGAAATCAATAATCGAGCTCCGTTCCACTTGTTTTTCGATAACTTCTTTACATCCATCTATCTGATTGATGAACTGAGAGTTCGAGGAATAAAGGCCACTGGAACTGTTCGCGAAAATCGCACAGGTAAATGCCCTTTGCCTACCAACAAACAACTACAGAAGACACCACGAGGGACATTCAAACACCATTCTACTAGGGCAGAGCAAATTTTAGTATGCAAGTGGCATGATAACAGCGTTGTGAGTGTTGCATCAAATGCCGCTACGATTCAGCCTGTAACAAAAGTAAAAAGATTTTCACAGCAAGACAAAAAATATGTATGTACTTGTTGATCAGCCAGCTGTCGTTAAAAAATATAATGAAAACATGGGGGGAGTCGATAGATCCGATCAAAATATAGGTCTGTACAGAACGTCAATTAGGGGAAAGAAATGGTACTTCTCTTTGATTTGCCACGGATTGGACATGGCCTTACATAATTCTTGGCAACTATACAAAAACAACGGAGGTGAATATGACTTCCTTCACTTCCGCAGAAGTGTGGCAACAGCTCTTCTGGAAACGTATAAGAAAAGATCAGATCGTAAAGCAACTCGTGTCTCCCAAAATTTTCGCGAAGATTCCCGATTTGATGGAAAAGATCACCTAATCAGATACAGAGATAATCAACTTCGGTGCTTTGAATGTCATAAAAAAGCCAATTTTTACAGTCCTAAATGTAATGTTACTTTGCATCCTAAGTTTTGCTTCGAAAGCTTTCATATTCCAAAATAAAACTGTGTGAAACCTATAGTCTTATTTTATTTCACCTATGAATACCATAGCAGTACATATTGCTAGCGTTCTTTTAAAAGGACGGCATTTTCCCACTTTCCTAATTGAAGAAAATTTTTTTTAATATTTTTTTCGTATACAATATAGTATTATTAGCGTTATATGTTAAATTTATTAAGATATAATCAAAAAAGTTGTTTCAGGAACAAGTGGGTTAAAATTTCGAACGATAACGTATAATCTCGTTCTGTCCTCGAACGTGTTAACCAGAAATATCTATTCACTTTGCGAATGCCTAGGAATTTTTAATTTTTCTACATCATCAACTGAAATAAAGACATGGAAAGTTACCTACCAGTGTTAAAAAACTAAAGGGATGATAGCATTATTAAGTAGGTAGATACACGTCTAAAACTCCAATAAAATAAGGCGTACCTACTTTTACATCAATTTGGTTCACAACAAACAAAAAAAAAATACGAAAAAAAATACGAATCGACGAAACACAACTGTTTTGTTTCAATGTTTTTTTCTTCGACGAAACAAAATCTATTTCGAAAAGCCATAGGGACATTTTTCTCACTACCTCGGCCCTAGATCACCTAAGCAATCCAGCAAGACTTAATAAGTAAACATCAATAACGAATATGGAAGAAGTACAGTTACTTAGGTACCTCCTATCTACATAGGTATTGACAACACGTTTTTCTAGATTACCTAGTGCTCCTGGCCCGGTTCTGATCACCTTCAAACCGCTATGTGACATGAAATAAACTTAGAAATCCTGGATCATTAAACATAGGAATATTTATGAGAAAATTCTACTATGAATCATGAATTCGTTTTAATAAACTTAATATACAATAATATAGGTAGTGAAACAATTTTCCATCTTATGTTACGGATTTTTGCCAACAATGCACAATACCTTACTTTTATGATTTTAATGCCTTACCGGATATAATTCATGGTTCAAAAATCATGGTTAGATACGCTGTAAATAATTATTGCGGTTTTAAAATAAAAATCTGGATAATTTTGTAAGTAGGTACACAATTCATGAACGCAAATATAATTATGTCAGATGTATTTTTATAAGCGAATGTTGAATACCCCCAATGATCACGTTGCATAGTCTTGTTTAGGAATAACTTAATTATTAAAACAATACGATTCAGCTCTCAATCACCATTATCATTATGTCCACCACTAGATATGGGCCTCTAAAAGCACACCAGCGCCACTAATCATCATCATCAGATCATCAACAGCCTTTAAGTGCCCACTGCTGTGCAAAGCCTCTTCTCACACGAAGAAGGTTTGAGCATTAACCATCACGCTTGGTCAATGCGGGTTGGCGATTAGAAACTCATAATAAGAAATTATAAGCCCAGGTGTCCTCACGATGTTTTCCTTCACCGTTTGTCAGTGGTGTCTAGATCTTAGAAAGAACACATAACTCGGAAAACGTCACATTGGTACTTGCCGTTGGAAGGTTTCGAACCCGCATCCTCATGCATGGGAAGAGGGCGTCTTAAACCCCCGGGCCACCACGACATTTTTAGTGCCACTTATATCGAACTTCAACTCTTCCAGTACTTATAAAATAATTTGTTACAGTATATCTTCGAGAATGGGTCTAGAGAAGATGGTCTATTGACAAGGGAGAAGTTTATGGAAGTGAATGCGAGGATGGAATCCCGACGTGAATTCTTGAAGACAGAATGCAGCAGACTTGGGCTCGATACTTCCAGTCATAAGTCGAATGCCTGGGAGTATCTTATAAATAGACAATATCATGTTATATGGTGAGATTTCTTTCTTTAATTTTTGTTTGTGTATTGATATAACAGAATTCGTTAGCTGTTCAATGTTGTCCCTTTGTGTAAGCATTGTTTGTTTTCGTCTCTCACCCCTATTATTACCACATCGCATAAAATTAATTGTAGAAGGGCGCTATTACCTAATAATATCTACCTTTAAAGAAAACTTACTTTATTTAACCATACCTGTTTTTTCTTCCCAGCAATCAAGTTCAACCGTCTTTCTTAATTAATTTCAGGTGTAACATATTCAAAGCAGCTTCCACCTCATGGATGTACAACTTTAACTTAATGGCGAACTATTCGGCAGCATTTTTGGACAAAACAAAAGAAGTACCCTTGCAACTGGCTAGAAGAAAATATGCGAGGCCAACTGCAGAGATGATCAAGAAGGCCCAAGGGGATTCTATAACATTCCTCATCGTACGACATCCTTTGGAAAGATTAGCGTCCGCGTATAACGATAAGATCGTACACGCGTGGCCCAAGTCTTTCCATGATAAACTTGGGCATAGGATTGTTAAGAAATATAGAAAGGTAGGATTGATTTGCATTGAGTCTCTTTACCCCTCATCACACTGTTGATCCTGGACAGACATTAGGAATATTGGACTCTTTCTTATAAATTCTTACTTTTGTAGCCGGCAGACAAGACCCGGACAGAGAAGTATCCAGTTTTCGAAGAGTTTGTATCGTATGTGTTAGACGAGGCGAAGGCGAAAAGGTCTCTCGACATGCACTGGACACCGTACACCACTTTCTGCACGCCTTGCAAGTTCAACTTCGATGTCATTCTCAAGTTTGAGACGCTAGATGTAAGTATGGAACTAAAATTATTATCTACTTTTCAAAAAAGGCCCTAACTATAAATCGATATAGCGAGGAAAACCGTAGGCAGAGTCTGGCATTAAAATGACTCACAACCAAACCTACTTACATTATACGGTATACGTAAATCTCCAACTTGGCACTAATCTATAAAAGTTGGAAGTATATTCATTATCTTGGCAAGAAGCCTGCATTTTAAGTGACCTACATCAATTTGGAAAACGATCCAAAGCTGTTGAAGCGAAATATATTTTTATGGAACGATGAATGTTCTTGGAATCATAAGAATAAGAATCGAAGTTTTTAAGTGAGCGTGAAATGGGTAACTAGGTGGTGGTCAGTGGGAGAGTAATAAATAAACTTTAACGAGTGGATCCTAACCGCACGCTTTCCCAATGTGGTCGGAGCTTCCGTTGGGCTTCGCATTTCCAATTCTGTTTCAATAATGGACACTGATGGACGCAGTGATTCATCTATAAAACCAAGTTTACCACTTCCGTGTATTTTCCTGTTAAATTCGCAATTGTTTGATATTGTACCAATATTAACTAAACATCTTCTTTCTTCTTTCGTTCTTCATTAAACAATACAATATTAGTATTTAGATTAGTCTTTACTTATAAAAATAGGTTGGATTGATCCCCATAACATCAATCATTCTAGATGCGTCAATGACTTTCATTACTTAGGTACCAGTACCTAAATACGTCGTATCTATATCTACTTCAAAAATAAATTTTATTAATTATGTTCTCCCACTACATTCTACTAATTTAACTAGCTGTGAGTTTTTTTACGCTTTCATTTCACTTGGCAGGAGGACCAAAAGTTCCTGATCCAGTTGGCTCATCTCCAAGACATCGTGAAGCCTGAATGGAAGAATAGCGGGAAGGGCAACACAGCTACCGTGCATATCATCAGCAATCTGTACGCGAGGCTCAACAGACGCCAGCTAGACGGCCTCTACGATTTGTATAAGTAAGTAGCTTCATTACCATATTGTACGAGTACATGTTGACAGGCTATTTTACTTTGTGCACTAAAAAGTATTTTGGAACCTGAGCATTGTTGTAAAAATAGAATTGCAAAGTCTGGTGTTCTGGATTTCTGGTTTACACATTTCATTGTTCTTCATAATTCACTAGCTTCTGCCCGCGACTTCGTACGCGTAATCCCATTTTTTCCCGTCCCCGTTCGTGATTTTCGGTAAAAAGTAAAAAAAAGTATTGGTTAAACAGTATCCTATGTCGGTCTCCTGGCTCTAAGCTACCTCCCTACCAATTTTCAGCCAAATCTATTCTGCCGTTCTTGAGTTATAAGTGGTGTAACTAACACGACTTTCTTTTATATATTATCAAATAGATTTTAAAGATTATACACTTTGCCTTTCCAGGCAATTCGAATGTGTTGTCTCTTCCATTTGTAATTTGTATAAATATTAAAGCTAATTTTTTTTTCAGGGACGACTTCCGGCTGTTCGGCTACTCCATAGACAGCTATTACGACATGATTGACAAAGAAAAAGTAAGCAGCCACGGATGAACCGTCAAAAATTCGATTTGAACGCTTCAAGATAATGTATCATTAACGCAGCAAAGGATCGAAGGCTGATGAATGAAGAATGAATTATTCATCAATGGCTGGAAAGACTGATCGCAACACACTAATGATTGATGGACATTCTATTGATCCACCGGCCGAGTGAAAACTTGCCCCTTGCGTCAATTTTCAAATTTGTTATCGCTGCAAATATATATTTTGTGATATGGCGTCTCGTAGTTCCGTTTCCGCACTATAGACAATAGTCATAGAGTAAGGATACTTTTTTATTAACTGGCAAACTTCAAACTTGATGATTTTCTGACACCAATACGTCAGTTGAACGTTGTGAAAATAAGATAAATGTTCCAGATAACATATTTAGTCGGCAACGAACGGTTTAAAGTATCAATTTGTACTGGTCTTAAGTTATGGTTATGGCCCCTCATCAATCACCTTGTTAGTTTTAATGTAAGAGTTAAGATAACGAAATTACGAACTGTTGAGCTAATCAAAATTATACGTAGTCGTAATAGCTGAATTTAGTTGTTATTGGAGCATAGGACAAAAAATGTAAATATTGTTTTAGTTTTATAATGCAAACAAAATTCCTTAGTGCTTCCATTATAGAATTATGGAATGTATGTACCTATATGAGAAACGAAGTCACTAAATAGGGTTCTATAGTTTTAGTTTTCGGCATTTAAGTTTTATAAACAAGCTCGCTTGTTTACTTTGCAACTTTAAAAAGAAGTGGCAAATAGTCAAGTTTGCCATTTTGGAATATTAAAAACAGAATAATTGTTACCGTTGCATTTTATAACTACGATTTTTTGAGAATGTGATAGTTCGAATCAAAGAGTTTTCAAAGATTTTGTTGTTACATTTGAAAAAAGAATTGTCAAGATTTTTAAATATTTATTTGTACCTATATTTATTTGAATGATTAATAATCATGAATTAAGTTTATATTGTATTTAATATGCCATATCGTTTTAAGTGTAATTAATTTATTTGTTGTTATCATTGAGCAATAAGTTAAACCGTTATAAATACGAATAGTTTAACTACAGATAATCAATATAATTATGGAGCTATAACGCCTAGACGTCTACTTTTGTAGTTTATTGACGATGATTGTAGTATATTGTGTTCTTTGCGTCTCTTTAAATTAACATTCCTTTTTCAAAATTACAAAATGTAACCATAGACAAGTAGACCACCTGTGTCTATGGTTAGTCAATGTTTTCTTTCACAGATAATGTAGACTTTATTTGACCTAAAGTAGGCTAGTAAAGAGGATTTATTTAAATCTGGTAATAAGTACAAAATTATATAATGATAGGTACTACATTTAGTTTTTAAGTACCGTGAACAGAAGTTTTGTTTTAGTAATAATACCAAGTTATTGTTATGTGTAAAGAACCTATTCGAAGTTGAATAGGTACATTACATTTTGACACAAACAAACACAATTCATAATTTAATCATCAAATTTTCTACATTTATGGATGTAATAATACCAATGGTCACAGTCGTTACAAATCTAATATTCTATATAATTATAATTAAATAGTTTGTACCTGGTTATGTAGTCGTGTTCATGATTGCGATATCGTGACATCGAGAAGTTGCCTTTATCCTTAAAATTTTATTTAAATTGTTCATAAATTAATAACGAAAATGTTAGACGTGGATCAAGGAGTCTGCCAAAATGCCAATATTTAACATTAAAAAGTAATTGTGAAGAATAAAAATAGATTTTTGTACGAAAAATTGGCACTAGGCTCCTTTATGCACGAAAATATTCATTACTTTATCCTTATATCTCCATTCTTGTTGTTTTCCAAATATACAAAAAAGACAAAAAAATAAATAAAGTAATTTAGATATAAATCTCATAGTTAGAAGAACTAAATTCACTAGTCGTAGCTAACTTTAAGGGCAAGTTTGATAGACATCACTTAGTATATTTTTTTGTCTAAGCTATCTTCCGTCTCTGTCTTGCACTTATACATTACAATCTATGTGAAAGAGACAAGAATACTTTAATTCATAACACGCGCTAAGCGACATCTATCTTACTCTAACATTCAGCTTAAGATTTATTTAGCGCCACTTACGCCATCTATCTTAAATACCCACAAACTTAGTAATCCTACAAATAATTTGCTCCTAGTGAGGTTTAGTTAGTGATACAAATAGTTGATACGGAATGAAATTAGACCAAAAAGTTATGGCCTACGAAAGTAACTGTAATGGTGCTATAGTCCTATAGTTTTGATCTCATATCTGAATGTGAGACTCGAATGCATGCACAATCGTTGCTAATTACGTAATGCGTTATAGATTCCAACGGTAACTGAGTCGGTTGTGTTTATAATAATGTTGAAAGAATTATTATTAGTACTTAGACAAAAATAAAATTGACTATTTAATATTCTTTGTTGTTTTATTTATTTATTTTCCCCATTGATACCAAGTGGCTAATGATGATGACTTGCGTCAAAACACCTGACATTAGTTAAAAGGAGGTTATTAAATTGTATGAAACTAAAACTTTCATGTTTTCATATTGCTATGTTAAAATAATACATATTATCGAAAAAACATAATACTTAAAAACACTTATAATAAATTATACTAATTTAAGGTACCTACTTTCATGTTACAAACTAGATGGCAGCACTTGGCCGCCCAACCATAAGAAGACAAAAAGTTCGTTGATAGCTGTCAATGACAGTTACTAAATTCTGCTACTAAAATTAAAAGGAATTAAAAGATTTATCAAAGTTATGTACTATATTTGTGTAACTTCAAATAAATATGTAAAATTAACAATACTGACTTAATTAGCCGGTTTTTGTATTGGAGACTAGATGTACTGGAAATTGTGGTAGATATTCCCGTTTCACAGGTGATTTAGTTTTGTTCCTAAAACAACAGAAATGTAAGTATTAGAGATTATAATGTTAACCTTATAACTATATGGCACTTGATATCATGACATAAATATTATGTTACTAGTTTATTCCTTAGAATGTTCAGCAAAGATAAAATAATAATAATAATTTTTCTGCAGAAAATGTAGAAATTCTTAATAATAATGTCAGTATTTTTAATCAGACCAGACCATAAATAATATTATATTGTCTAACTTACTCAGGCTTCTTCTTTCTTTTGGGAGTATCTAATATATCAATAGGATCTGTTGTGATGATCACAGGTCGCACTGAACCAAAGAAGTCGGTGATAGGCACCTTGTCAGGGTCTCGTTTGAACAAGTCGCGTCTCACTCCAACAGTTGACAAACATGCGCTCTTTGGACAGACTGCCAGCTGAAATAAAAATATTATTACAATGGCCCATTGTACAGAAAACTAAGTACCTACATATTATTCAGCATAAGCCTTTGCAATCAATTTTGCAACAAACTAGAAAAAATACGACAAATCTGTAAGAAGAAATATGTAGGATACTTACAAATTCTGACATAGTCCTTTTGCTGTTGGGATGAACATTTTCCAAGAATTCCAGCACATAGTAAGTGTACCTATCGATGATGTACACACCAATTGCTGAATCCACATGGTGCTAAAACCAAAATAAAAATATAACTAGACTGTCCATAGACAAAACATTTTATTCAATTTTATAAAATGACTAGGTACTTACAGAAAGAGAATCTTCACCTACTAAACTTGAAGCAGTAGCTAATATGTTTGGAGAATAAAATTTCTCGTACATTGAAGACGCCTGGCATGTGTCTATGATGAAAAATATCTCATTGTATCTGAAAATTAAAGAACAAACATTGGCATAAATATGTCTAGTTTGACCAAAATAAAAATATTGTCTTTAAGAAAGTATCATATATCGAGTAGATAGATAGGACATGAGTTAAATATACTGAGAGTGTACAAATTATTGTGAAATTAATAAGTTAGTGCTGAAATCTATTACCTTCTCTTTTCCCACATTTGTTCTAAAGCATCAGCCAGCTCCTGGCTAGTGATTTCCTCTGAATCTTGGAACTTAAGAAAGCCATCACCTCCATGGCCTGTGAGGTAGATTAATATGTTGCTCCCTTCATCAGTTAGGAGCCTCTTGGAGCGTGGAGTGTCTGGAGGCACACGGCCAGTAAGTAGACGGACAAAGTTCTCTACTGAAACCTAAAAATTTTTAATTACATTATATTGAATTATTGTTAAATTTATTGAAGCACAATTTTATATTATAAAATGAAATTATAGACAGGATTATTGTGTGGATTAAAGAAAGTTACAAAGTTGAAGAAAACTTGAAAATCTCTTAAATATTAGAATCTTATTGGTTTAGTAATTGATCACTGAATTTATTGGTACTAGTAATTTAAAAAATATTTATTTAATTTAACATTTTTTGTACAAATGCTTATACAATGGTGGGCTTAATTAAGACAGCATTATCTACCAGCCAACCATAGGGTGATGCAGAGAAGTGTTACAGTAGGTTACAAACAAGTTTTTATCTATTTAAAAATGAGGGTGTTAAATGAATGTATATTATAAAGGTACCCTGGTACAAAAACTACTTACCAATACTACATAGTAATATGAAACATAATTATATTAGCTAAATACATTGTATAAGTAATATTATGCTAAAATTATAAATGAAAAGATAAACAGCCAAACGTTGAGAATATGTTTAGCTTGGTACAAACCTCATAACCCCTGTAATCCACTTCAACATCATCTCCATACACATTGATTTGTTCGTGAGCATTGTTGAATATTGTAGCTGGACGCGGATTCCGAGGATTACAAGCCATGTCGTCGGATATCATCAGAATTATCTGACTGTCCGGGATACCAAGCCGCTTCACGCTACGATAAATTGATAATACATTCGCTACATGTCGGTAATTAAACCAAAACCGAGATGTATCCACTAGTACAGCCCAGTTGTTCGAGTGGTTCGACTTCTGGAATTCTTCAGGTATCTGTAATAACGATAACAATGATAAAAATCGTGATATTCTATTACAATTGAACAATCCAATTGTATTACGGCCGTGGCAGTTTTTACCTCAATGCTGTACGTAAGTGATAGAACTGTTGCTATAGTAAATAGAACACAATATATTCTATTTAATAAATCCATTTTTAACTCATTAGTTAGAGATTTTAGTAAGAATTTCGTATTCACATGAGTATAAAATATTTTTATTTATCTACTGTCAAACTTGACAATTTGACATAACGTTCTATTGACGTTTCTATTAGCAACCATAGATACAACGGCAATTGAACCATAGACTATACTAGAAGCGATACATTTGATACATTTGTAATAAAAAGCCTAGTAGCCGTAAGTGATGCAACGAATATTAAAAAAACAAAATGTCAAAATAGAAAATGGCTGTCAATTTAAAAGTCAAGTAAACAAGGTAAACACAAAGCTTTATTGAGCATTTAATTAAATTTAAATCATGAGCAGCCGCAATCCTAATACTTTAATGAGTGTGCCGGACGAGCAATTTGACTATTTGTTCAAAATAGTACTCATTGGTGATTGCGGAACCGGAAAAACATGCATTGTGCAACGGTTGAAATCTGGTAACTTCATAGAAAGGCACGGAAATACAATAGGCGTAGACTTTTCAATGAAAACATTGATAGTAGATGGGAAGAAAGTCAAGGTTAGTCTATATATATAATCTAATAACAATAAGTGCGTCGTAAAATAGTGCATCGGAGATTTAACGCGTTGTTTTTTAGCTTCAGATATGGGACACTGCAGGGCAGGAGCGCTTCAGAACTATCACACAGAGTTACTACCGCTCTGCAAACGGTGTAATAATTGGTAGGTATGCGACGTCCGCCCACACGATATCATATTTCCTGGTTAAAACACTGACTAGGCAGTATGTAGAATGAGTCACGCAAGTTACATGGGCGCATCTGCATAGATAGTAACATAGACACACTAGTCTAATTTCGTACGCAGTTATTAAATAATCGATATTTTCATGGTAACTCTATATTATTCACATGTAATTACAACTCTTTAACATGAAGTCAATGTTATCACTAAAATAATGGAAGTTTGACCTCCACATCACCCTCTTTGTATTGATAATAAATTATCCTTTATTTAAACTAAAAATCTGTAAAAAAAAAAACTCAATTTGAAAAGATCTTTTCAAAATCAGATCAATTATTTAATGGTTTAACTCCCAACGTCACAACATACAAGCATAAATATTATATTTTTTATTATCACATTACTTTACTAGCAAAGATAAATGTAATCACAATAGGTGTGTATAATATATTGTTGTATAATGCAGCTGTAAACACTTTATTAATATCTAATCAACAGGATAAAACCTTTTTTCTGAGTCATTAAACAAACTAATAATTTCGGTTTTATTACCTCTTTTAGTAGACGATAATATCAACACAGCATGCTCATATATTTTGGTTTTATTTTATCTTGCAACTAAATACTCTTTTTCCTTAAAGTCCGAAGTCAATTTGTCTGTAAAAATAGATGCTAAATCAGACATACTTTATAAATATAATTTCTAACCACTGACCATAATAATTGTGTTTGTGAACTTAGTATATCTAATATATAAAATTCTCATGTCTCAGTTTTCGTTGCCATACTCCTCCAAAACGGCTTGACCGATTTTCATGAAATAATTTGTGCTTATCCGGTATCTATGAGAATCGGCCAACTCCTATTTTTCATCCCCCTAAGTGTTAGGGGTAGTCCAGCCCTAAATTTTTTTCGAGATTGCACATACGAAGTCGCGGGCAGTAGCAAGTTATTAATATTTTTCTCTGCATCTTTCAGTGTATGACATCACAAAACGATCAACATTTTTGTCATTACAAAAATGGATTGAAGAAGTTAGAAGGTACACATCCTCCAATGTGATAGTGTCACTGATCGGTAACAAATGTGATTTGACCGATCAGCGAGAAGTTGAGCCAGATGAGCCTCAGTCATTTTGCCGTTACGTACCGGAAATAATGTTCGTGATGGAGACCTCTGCGAAGGACAACACTAATGTTGAAGACACATTCCGCAGTTTGGCTACAGAATTAAAGGTACAAATCTATATATGAAACCCTTTTCCCGTTGTCACCCCATAACTTGAGAAAGCCTAGCTAGACCGATTTGGCAGATTTTTTTTTTATTGTGTTTGTCAGGAAAAAGTTTCTTATGACAGAAAAAATCCTGAAAATCTTACGGGAACGGGAGAAAACGGGATTGCGCGTACGAAGTCGCGGGCAGAAGCTAGTTTCTAATAAAAATACAATTAAGCCAATTAATTTTGATTACAGACTACCTATATTTTTTATGGTTCAACCAGTATCCTATTACTATATTCATTCTGTAGGTTTATTTTTCAATGAGTAACAAAAAACAATAAACAATAGTAATATAGAATCCAGAACTTATACAACTAATCTTCAGTCAGTATTTCAGTCATGGATGGTTAGCCCAGTACTTAGGAAACACCTTCATGTCTCAATGTAGTTTCATGCTTTTTGCTACTGAAACTACTATTGTTACATGTCATGCTTGACTTACAACCTACATAGACTTGTGGAGTTAATTGAAATGCATTTTAAATTAGGTACTAAGCAATCTTGTTTACATAATGCAATTTTTCATGTTTTTCTAGGCATGTACGGCAGAGGTGTGCCTAAAATTATTATTGATGACGCAATTTAACAGTTTCGTACATGGTTTAATAGTCTGCAACGCTCTGGTGTTTAAACTCTTTGATTCTGTCCCGATTTACCATTTTATTTAAACAAAATAAAGGCTATGGGCATGGCCCTAAAAACATGTAATTATGTTCATATGAAAAGAGATCTCATGGTGACATATGAACATAAATCTATAGCGTAAATGTTTGATTTTGCATATCAGAAAAAGCAATTATTAACCTGACTCACTCGTGCATTGAACTTATGTCCTTGCCCATGATTATCTCCCACATCACTCGACTGAGGCGTGTTATTACTTAATTAATGAATTTAATAGCTGTCACTAACAATGTATGCTCCCTACAGACTTAGTGACTTCTCGCACGATTGTGGCATCACAAGGTTGAATGATACGCAGTAATTGTAATTAATAATAATATTATTTTAAGGCAACGCAATCTTGTAACTAGAATAAAGAAGATTGCTTCGTTTGTCGAATAAACCGGGGTCTAAGAAACTCACAAAGTATATTTCGGTTTTTTAAAAAAAAAATAACAATACGGCAGTTTCCTAAATTTTATTTTAATGCCCGTCTAGTAGATTATTTTAAAACATTAGACACGATTTTTTTCTTTTCTTACAAAATTCAATACTTTCGACGATATATTAATTTGAAATGTCGTGTGACGTCACAGCGTGCTACATTTTACAGCACGTTGTGACGTAACGACCTCCCTCTCCTAAACTTAACGCCATTTTATCTAAGTATTGTAGCTTTATACAAGAAAATAAAAAATACGTGGCTAGATATATTAGATTTTTAATTTTCTTACCCTGACAACTACCCAATTGTAACCAGTCCGACTATCAGTTATATACTAATCAAATTTAAAGTGGCTCTTGCCTTGTCCATGTACTCGCGCACTTCTGTCTACCCCGTCGGAGTTGTGTGTGTATTAATCATATCACACTTACACTCTCGTGTCATCTTTCAAAGTTCATACAAGGTTGAATGACACGCATTTATAAATAACGATTATTTCATATCAGTCATGTTACTGTAGTCTAAAAATGCTATGCACGATAATCCACCTGGTGGGTGAGATAGATTATGGCTTACATTGCATTAAAATTTAGGTGATAATGATTTGATACGGACGCATTCTATTTCTACATATGGGTATCTTATCGATGTGTGTAGACGTAGGTTGCACACATTTTATTATTATCGATGAGTCATGAGCTTGTTAGTAATTTGGTTTAAAACTTAACAGCATTAAAACTTAAGTGTGGGAGAGCCATACTTCGGCACGAATGGGCCGACTCGTCCCGAGTGATACCACAGCCTCAAACAAAACCGACGTTAAACAACGCTTGCGTTGTGTTTCATCGTGTGCATGAGGTTACCGGATGCCTTCCCCAATCTCCTCAGTCGCTGAATCCTCAAAATCCTAATTCCCAAAAGGCCGGTAACGCTCTTGTAAGGCCTCTGGTGTTCCGGGTGACCATGGGCGACGCCGATTGCTTACCATCAGATGATCCGTGCTCGTTTACCGGCTTATACCATAAAAAAGTTTAGTACAGTGGTCTTCTTAGAAACGTCTTGGTCTTGGCCCAATACCGTACGTCTCGTTGGTGCTATTTTATAATCTCTTAAATAGCACCAACGAGACGTAACTTTTATGGTTTTAGTGCTTACCATAGGTCATACGTCTACTCGCTTACCCTATAACATAGTAAAAACATGATTTCAATTGCTATTCGGCTTTACAATGTGTTAAATGCTTATAATAATTATTTCAGAGACAACACGACAACAGTGAGGGTCCCCCCGCGGACTCCGACGCAGTGGTCCTTGGCGAGAGTCACTCGGTAACACGGTGTCAACCCTGCAGGTCATCTTAGATCTATAGCAAGTCCTACGAGTAGATAACCTAGACCAAATGTTCATCGGGGCTCTTGCATGGTGCGTGAGATGTGAGGTGACTGTTAATGAAGTAGTTATGCGAAAATGTTCCTTTTGATAGTCTTGTTTAGGTTGTTAATTGTATATCAAAAATTTTTAGGGATTTCAAAGTTCAATTTACTGTTATTGACCCTTATTGTGATCCTTTGTATCTACAATTAAGGTCTTCGTCGCCATGAGTTTCAATTAATCAAACTGGAAAACTCTTTGTTAATTGCTATCTTTTTCAACAAGGTTTTTAAGAAACTCAGGTCCTTTCCACGTGGAACCACATTTTTCAGAAACCCATTCTATTATGGAATAGAAACCCATTTTATTATGGAATAGAAACCCATTCTATTATGGAATAGAATGGGTTTCTAAAAAATGTGGTTGTCATTTGAATAAATAAATAGAATGGTTTGTGGGTTGGAATTGGAACGTTTTTGCCTAACTACATATCCATTTTATTTTGCCATGTAAGTCACTTAGCTTCGAACTAGAAGTTCTTGTCACAAACATAGGTTTCCTTTTTTTGTTTTAGTAGGTATCGTGCTACATTGACCAGTGATATATAAACTATACAACCCCTTACTATTGTAAGCTATACCACTCGTCTCCTAATTAGTCTTACGTAACCTGCATAAAATTAACTGTTCCGTCTAATATTACAGCACTAAATTTACTAGACATTGAATAATGAACTCTATTCGTATGTAAATCAGCATGGATTTACAATTTCAAATATCGGACAAGACCGAAATATAGCAATCCAGTAATCCTATTATGTAAATCCGCCCAAATCATTCTGAAATCATAATAAATCTGTAAAATGCAGATTTATCGAATGATAATAAATCACATGACTTATTTTCGATGTCTATCAGAATCCCTGGCCGTACAATTTAGTACCTTAACTTACGAAAAATAAAATGCTATATTCAATTTCATTTTAAAATCTTCTCTGCTATTTTTTAACTCGAATCGTAAGGGGATTACCCTTATCCGTATTTCAGTTATCACCAAAATACCATGAGTTAATCCTAATTTTGATAAATGTATGGATTAACAATTAATACATTGAATGCGTTTTAATGCAAGGACCATTATTTTATGTCACTCTTTCATCAATTTTTGCAAGTTTAGTTGACGATCCCTTGGTCGTGATTTCCGACCAAGGGTTTAATAATGAAGTCTTATAGGGATTTTCGGTTCTAAATTCCCATTATGTATTAGCACATAGTATAGAAATACATCCTTATAACCATACCGAGATACAACCGTAGATCCCCCCCCTCCTTAGTACATGGGATTTATAATATAATTAGCAAAAAATATGAAATTCATATAAGTAATATGTGTTCTCTTGACTTTGTCTTGAGAAACTAATGACAGTTTTCACCATCCACCTCTAAACCATCTTTTAACTAATAGTTACTTAAAACTATATACTGTAATAGGTAAGTGAAAACCAAAATGTGTAAGTATCACCTATCTTAGTTCAGGAGTTCTTTAATTTTAAATTGATAGTGACAACATGCAATAAGGTCCCATTTTGTGTCAACACTGATCGCTTTCTGCCTGATAGTATTGCCCCATATTTCATAAAAAATGTATTAAGCTTAGTTATCCATAGTACATTATGCTCATTAGAATGTTTCTCTCAATTTTGTAACATATCTAATAATATTTTGCTATCATTTCTATGTGTATATCGATATGTAGAATAGATAACTCGTTCACCTCAATATTAAATGGCCTAGTAATAATTTCGAAGTAAATTAGCTCTTATTACTACGACGTAATGTTCAAAACTCATTGTTTTCTTGTATCTCAGTAGCCAGGCATCATATTGAAAGATCTTTTTTATTTTTAGTTTTCTAAAGAGATTAGTAAGTTACGAAATTATTTCGTATATTCTTATACAGAGTGTTTGAGTAAACGAGAGATATCTTGTGGGGAGTTTTTACTTTTTAGTATTCGATTTTTTATTCCATATAAGGGATGTTTTTAATTTTTGTCTTTTTTATCTCTTAGGAGTTTTCTCGGACGTTTTTTTTTTAAATTTTGTATCTGGTATATTTTTATATGGTGTATATTTTTTTTTGTTTCTAGTGTGTATTAGAAATTGGTTCGATGACGTCTCTCATTTAACTGAACACCGAATACATAACGATTTTATGTAAATTGTAATTAATTGGTTATAGATAATGTAAATGTGGCTTTAAGTTATAATTAAGGTTAAAATTTAAAGGTAAGTTGATATCATTGGTTTCCTTTTAGTGCTATGAAATTTATTAATAATCAGTTTCGAAGTTGTAAATAATTAATTGTAGATAATTATTGTAATGATCAAACCACCTGCTCGAGACTGATTTGAGCCATAACCTAAGTATTGAATGTTAAACAAAGACCATAGTCTCTATAAATCGTTAATATTTTATTAAAATGTCCAATGACCAATAGAAATGGCGTAAAAATCTGTTGCTTTCTTTAAGAAAGTTCAAAATATTCGTTAAATTTTAAATTTCGAATATTGTAGTGATATTTTAATTCATCTACTGACATTTCTTGTGTATCTGTGTATAATGGAATTGTAGATTTGACGTCCAATTAAGTTAGAAACATACTACGCACGCGCTCGTTAATTGGCAAATAAAACAACCAATCACGATACGATAATAAAGTGACCAATCAACGTGGGTTGCGTTTCGAGCATGTTTCTGACTTTATGCAATTTAGTACTAATACAGTTGATTTAAAAATCCATTGTAATTTCGAACTTATGCATGTTGGTTTATGGTGCATTTTTAAATGAACGCTGTATTTATAAATGTATCTATCTATCTATAAATATTATAGTAACAATACCTTAATAACATATTATACTGTAGTTGACATTTCTGTTAATCTCATATTAATTGGAGTATAACTTAAAGAGAGAATAATTGTTATTATTATTATTCATTGGTTAGAGTCGGAATTATCCTCGCCACCTTAATTATCGTGGTTTATTATAAGTTAGGTAGAAAAATTATATTTTCGTCAAATTATTAGTCGTGTCATAAGAATCTCTAATTTAATTTTGTATAACGTATTATTTTTTATAATAATTATTATTATTAAATTAACATGCAACTAAAAAGATGTAAAAGTAAAACGACAGATTATACTAAAAATAATTTTATTTGTAAACTTATCTCAGTGCTATAATAATAATTATCTCAATCATATTTTAATTTTGACATACAGAATGTTCGATATTGAAATAAATTGTTATAATTTTAATACATCTGTTAAAAAAAGTTAACTGTGTGGTTTTTCGTGTCGCTGATGATGATGTCTAGTTGTTTTGTGACGTGAATGCCTGAGATCCAGCCGAACTTGCCGGCTTGAGAGCCTAGGCCCCCGAAAACCCTAATGACCTGTCCCGTGGGTTTGAAAACCTGGACCCTGCAGTTTCCGGAGTCCCCAACTAGGATGTATCCCATAGGGTCTACAGTAAGGACTTCTGGATGTCTGAATTGTCCTTTCCTTTGTCCCATAGACCCAAATTCTATGATTTTGCCCTTGTTCTGTTTGTTATAGACCTTGATCCTTCCATTTCCACTGTCCAGTACGATGATGCGGTCATTGGTTACCGCGACACTGGTAGGTGCGTTTAGTTCTGTGCACGATAGCTCCTTCTGCTCCCAAACTGATGAAGAGAATTGGGCCTGCTGTTTCGTCGCTATGCCGATCTGATCGATGATTTTTCCATCAGGCTGGAGGATCTGAAATTAAACAAATTGAAGTTTTAAACATCATTTAAGAGAATATCCCCGAAGGGCTAGGTGTAACACCCACTTTTCACTATTTATGTTATGAGACCCATGTAATAGGGGGTGAGCCTACTACCATATACCGGGCAAATTTCCAGACTCCGTGCTACCACTGAGATTTTTTTTAATAAACCCAGTTATATTTTGCCCGATCTGGGAATCGAACCCGAGACCCCTTGCCTGGTAGACGCACTTGCGACCACTCGGCCATCGAGGCAGCCTCCCAGTCCAGATAATTATACCTAATAAATCCTGTCTACTTTCAATAGATAAAAGTGTGACTTTATGCTATCTATTTGTACATTCATAGCCTCATAGGGCAAAAAACTCTTATAATACCTACGTAAAATTAATAAATAAACGAATGAATGAATGTACCTACCTAACTTCGTTGTTTTGGATCATACAAGTATTAATTTTGGATTAAATTGGATTATGGATTAGAAATTGTTTTTCAAGCAATTGACTTGATAACCTAATCTAAATGACGTCTGTTATTGTCTGTACCACCTAGATCTTGATTGATTGCCTACCAGTCCTCCGTCGTGGATGGCCTTTATAAACGAACAAGGACTCGAAAACAACTATAATTAAGTAACTAAAAAATCGCAGGTTACTCGCGCGAATATACTGAGAAAACCTCTACTAGCTTTGGACCACAGAGGGGTTCTTCCTCATGAGCAGCGTGCGCAGTCGCGGCGATGTCGCGCAGCCTTTGTAAGCCTTTAGTTAATTTAGTATGTCTCACGATAGTTATTATAAAAACTATAATTAAGTTGGTATCCCTACTTCCTTATCTACTTAATACTAGCTTTTACCCGCGGCTTCGCTCGCGTCACAAAAGGATAAAAAGTAACCTATGTAACATATACAATACACACAGCGCCATCTATACCAATATTTTTGTTTTCCCTCGGGAATATCAAATTTTTCCAGGATAAAAAGTACCCTATTATTTAATCCGGACTTCAAACATTACGTCTGCAAAAATTCAAAGCAATCGGTTTAGTAGTTACGGCGTGAAAGTGGAACAAACAAACAAACAAACTCACTTTCCAAATTAAAATATTAGTAAGGATAAGGATTATAAGTCTTATCTTATACTAAATATACTAAGCTGAAGAGTTCGTTTGTTTGAACGCGTTAATCTCAGGAACTACGGGTCCGATTTCATAAAATCTCTGTTCTGGATAGTGCATTCATTGAGGAAAATTATAGGCTACATTACACTACGCTCAATAGGAACCCCGCAGAAGTAGATAGTATGGAATATTTTTGTTTGTATATTTATTTCTTTCACGTCGCGAAGGAGCGCTTTTATTATAATTTTGTATCTAAAGATTGGGACCTAAATAGGGATACTATTTTTTGCTTTAATCGCAATAACCACACGGACGAAGCCGCGCGTGGAAAGCCAGTACAGATATAAATGTTTATTTCGTTTCCAAATCGGTCAAATTTTTAATCATTTGGGTTTTTCGCATATTTGCTGATAAGAAATGTTTTAGTACGTATGTGCCTAGTTAAATGTAGGCACCAATAACGTAGTAGATAGACATTATACAAGTGTGTGTGCATATTAAAGTTTCAAGGACAAGGGTATGCTAATCTTGTAAATGTAAAAGAGAATGTATGAAGGTATGTTTGATACTCTTTCATGAAAAACTGCTGCACGGATTTGGATTTTTGGTATAGAGATAGATTATTGTGTGGAGTAACAATTGGGTTGATTTCTATACCGGGAATGCGTTCAAAGGCGCCAAAGAAGCAAGAATTACTAGGATTTTATCAAACGTCGAGGATATGAACATATTTTAGTAAACACAAACATAATTTTAAATACACGTCAAATCATTTTGTTGATCACACAAAGAAACGGCATATTTCGGCACGAATGGGCCGGCTCGACCGGAGTGATACCACGACCTCACAGTAAACTGACGTGAAATAACGCTTGCGTTGTGTTTCATCTTGTGAGTGAGGTTATAAGAGGCCCAATTACCCCTCCCCAGTCTCCCCAATCCCCGAATCCTCCACAATCCTCAAATACCCAATTCCCAAAAAGCCAATAAAGCACTTGTTACGCATTGGTGTTCCACGTGTGCATGGGCTACGCCGATTGCTTAGCATCAGGTGATCCGTCTGCTCGTTTACCGGCGTATGCCATAAAAAAAAACAAACGGTGCTGAAATCGAACCATCCACGCCCCAGCCCCCACCGTTGCTCAATTGCCCAGCCACTACGCCATTGTTGAAGTTTTAGTATATAACTTTAGGGATAGAAGAACAAGCTCACCTGAACCCTATCATTGCCAGTGTCAGCAACATAGATCTGTTGGTTGGCATTATCTGTGGCAATGCCCTCTGGTGACCGGAACATGCCCAACTTGCTGCCCTTTTGCCCAATACTGCGGAGATAATCACCGTCTTTCGAGAATACGTGGACGCAGTGCTTCCATTTGTCTGAAAGGTAGAAGAAGTAGTTAAGTAAAGGTTGATATCCATCGTCATATCAGCCAACAGGCATCGACTATTGAATATAAACTCATTGACTGAAATGACCTGCATCCAGATTGCCATTGAAAATTAGTTAGTAGGTATTATTGCAAGTTGCAAATTCTCTACTGGGACAATTTATACCTTGATCAATTTTTTTATGGGATAAGCCGGTAAACGAACTACGGATCACCTAATTAGGCCTCCGGTAACCTCACACACACGACAAAACAGAACGCAAGCGTTGTTTCACGTCGGTGTTCTGCTTGGCCGTGGTATCACCCCGGTCGAGCCGGCCCATTTGTGCCGAAGCATGGCTCTCCCACACATAAAAGCCCAAATTAGCCCAAACCGTCGTGAAACAAGACCCATGTCTGTTACTCAGTCACTGCAGAAACTGCATGGAGTCTATTCGCTGTCAGCCTGTATAGGAAAACTTAACACAAATGTGTTGTGTGTCTCGAAATCGAGATGAAGACTGATTACAGAAATCTGAAGATTTATCACGTTTACCCTGCATTCTAGGGCAAAGGAGCATTGGGAAGGTAAATACCTACTTACTGAACTTTATACTCTATCTAGTAGGTACCTACCAAGCTTTTTATGTCCTTAGCTACTACTTAGTAGTTTTATCTTGGGTATAAAATCATAATCACGTTTCTATCATTACGTGGTCAAGTCAAAGGTGAGTGACGGATATGGTCGTACATAGGGTGGGTACTAGGAGTTTCTGCCAAACTATAAACGACTTCTATATAGTTCAACAGAAGCCTTATTGGCTAATTACGTAGTTAGATTAAGAAACAACCGTTACCAATTGTTAAGGAAATTCCAAAACAAGTTCCTACCTGGGGGGAAGTACCTACTTCCCTCCTAGTTGATTTATTATTTACGTATAGATATGTCTAGTCTACGTATAAAAATCAGCGTATCGCACACGTGCGCTTTTGATCAATACAACTACCTATTTATGTTACTTATCGATGACCATATCATTGATTAAATATTCTAAAGGCACCGACAATGACGAAATATTGCTATTACAATGCGATGAAGGTTCTTCCTCGTATACTTTGTGCAATTTGGCACCTAGTTATCTATATTAGATCATCATCAACAAGTGATAGTCTTTAGCAAAACCAAGGATCTCCTTATAAATTGGAGATGGGAGTTTAAAATGTTCAGAGGGCTACGTACGTTTTAGTTTATCGAGAGCGCGTTCAGTGCTCTGATTGGCCGGGTCCAATGAACTAGCCAATCAGAGTGCCAAACGTGGTCTCGTTTCGATTTCGTTAAATGTAGATAAAGCAAACTTAGTACCTTACCTTAAGTTTACCAGAGAGCGCTGCTACTCAGTCTTGCTTAAATATTTAGTCCCTATGTCGGTTCTTACAACAAATCCATATTTTCTTATAAGAAGTTTATCTACACCTCTCACCTGTAACATAGATCTCTCCAAGACTCTTCATGAACGCTATTTGTATAGGGCACAACATTTCTTCGGAAGACAACCTGGTGATGATCTTGGCTTGTGACCGTTCCATTACCAGCACGCTATGACAGTCCATACCACACACGTAGAGGTGATTGCTCCATGGACTCACTCCAATGCCGCATGGACGGGCTGATTTGCGCCATTGGAAGTGAGGGATGAAGTTGCGGGATCTAGGGGGAAAGTAAAGGACAGTTAGAAACATTTCTCAGAATAAATTATGCTTATAAATGGTTTGACTGTGGGAGGTAACAAATATTGAATACGTCGATAAATTATTCCCAAAAATTTAATAGAATTGGAAACTAGTACTCTAATAGGTCCCTAACTAACAAATCTTCTTTTATCAAAAGTAGTAAACACGATTTGAGAGAGTTTCGTTGGATATTAGTCAGAAAATTTATTATTAATTGGGTTCTTAGATTTTCCTGAATTGTTAGTAATATACCATGGAGCGTGGGCCCAATAATAATGCAACTGACTCGTTGTTTGTTACTTGGGGAGTATTTGGACCCTCAATATCATTGGAGAAAAGTGAGTGTTAGGTATATCTTAATCTATGGCGAATAAAAGAGTTTTACAGAAAAAAATACTAATATTCAACGATTGTAAGTACCTATCTTCACATCCAATCATTCTCACTGAATTTATGAATAACAAGAGCATAAATAAATTAATAATTAAGTACAGAGCGAATTTTGTCGGAATTTTCGTTTAATTAATTTTCATAAATAAAAACGTCGACTGAGCGAGTCGGGAGTCCGAAACATTCCTCGTCGCACGCGAATGTGCTATGAATACATGCACATATTTACGTATTAGGAGATTTACAACGGTAGCGGTAAGTGTTTGATATTTAGTTTTACAATAGTCTTGTACAATGATACAAAATTTACAAATTTCCAAATAAATACTGCAATTATACCTTATTTTAAAATGTATTTATCTCTGACTTTTTAAAAAGCATTCGTAGTACATTCGTAATTACAGAGGGCTCAGTACGAGTTTAAGTTACGTTTAAAGTAATCCAAACGAGACCGTGTTCGACGCTTTGATTGGTTGGTTCATTAGAGCCGTCCAATCAGAGAGCCGACATGTTTAACGTTTAAGGCCTCAGTAATATTTTTGAGAGCATCTTTAAATTGTAGGGTGTTTGATGTTTCAATACTCTGACAAAAGACTACTCGTAAATGTAGAATTTATTGACGTCGTAAAGTAACTATTATATTATCTGTTGCTATCTATTTACTTTGTGAATCCAGATTAACTTTAACGGCACGGTTGACGCGGTGGCTGGGCAACCGGCTGCCGCGCACGTGTCGCGGATTCGATTCCCGCACGGAGCAACTCTATGTGATGCACAAATTGTTGATCCGGTCTGGGTTTCATGTGTATGTAAGCTTGAATGTTTGTAAACGCACCCGATTAAAAAAAAAAAGATTGAGTATCAGAAATTGTCACCTGAGGCTTTAGTACGAGTTTGTTTTACGTTAAAAGTAATCGAAGCGAGACCTCGTCCGGGGCTCTGATTGGTTGGTTCATTGGAGCCGGCCAATCAGAGGCGTACTCGTTTCGATTAGTTTAAACGTAGTGGAATCTCGTACTAAGGCCTCTAGAGGTATTAAGCGTGCTTTTGTCGAATTCTTCTTTTAAATGAACTGCTTCTGCATAGTATAAAACAAAGTTGCTATACGCCGTCTGTTTGTCCCTATGTATGCTTAGATCTTTAAAACTACGCAACGTATTTTGATGCGGTTTTTATAAATAGATAGAGTGATTCTTAAGGAAGGTTTATATGTATAATACATGCATATTGCACCCGTGCGAAGCTCGGGTAGATGGTATTATCTAAGTAGGTAGTAACCTGTAGTTACCGAATTTTATAATTAGGTTATGATGATGCGTTAGCTATCAATATGTAAGAATTTAATCGAATGATTCGGATTAACAGTGGATTAACAATGGATTAACAACGGATTAACAATGGTCACTTCTTTACGATAACCTAGTTACCTACTAAGAAGTATTTTATTCTGTGGAGGGAAAATAGGTTTCCATTATTTTCGAGGATTAGTACCTAATTAATTTCAAGTCATAATTAGATGTCTTGTTTTGTAGGGTTACATTGACCTCTGAATAGAACTAAAATATCTGTAGTATTTGTACCTATATGAGAAACTATTCGTGAATGGGTATTCATACATAATTTCACACAGATCACTTATAACTGTATATTTTTGACAAAGAGAATAAACGTTTTAGTAGTCTTCACTGACAAAAATATAGATATTATAGATGTATTAAAGTGATTTGAATTTGAATTTGAAAAAACCTTAACAAAATCACAATCTTGATAGATCAAGAATTCATACAATTAATTTTTACTCTTTTGTTTTCTTAACTCGATCGCGGTCCGTCATGTCTAATCTATGTAAGAATAATTTCGACCAAAGACGATAATTTATGGACTTTTTCTCTGTTTATTTTTATTTATTTTAAATGTGTAACGCCTTGGTTTAATGATTGTAATGTTATAACATAACATCACGCCTTTCATTCCCTAAGGGGTAGGCAGACATTACGGATCTTAATACCACTTTATAATGTAACACCCACTTTTTACTATTTATGTTATGAGTCCCATGTAATGGAGGGGTGAGTCTATTGCAATATACCGGGCTCAATTCCAGACTCCGTGCTACTACTGAGATTTTTTTTTTAACCCAGCAATACTTTGCCCGACCTGGGAATCGAACCCGAGACCCCTTGCCTGACACTTACTCCTACTTGCGACCACTCAGCCAACGAGGCAGTTGTAATGTCAAACTAAGTATTTTAATTTAAATAAATACTACGAACGAGTTCACTTCAGGAGTTCGGACAGACATCTTACAGAAAACCCTAGCAGACCACCCATTAGAAAGGTACTTTGGTGTCCCATAGGTAGCTACTGCTTTATTCAAGTTAAGTACAGTTGATAGACATGACACATTCAAGTTTACCACGCACTTCGACTGACAAACAGCTGTGAATCTATTACGGTTCCCATTCCATTCATGACCGTTAAGGCATCAATTAATACATTCTTACTACTTAGTAAAAATTCCATTGACACAAGGTCCTTTAAAGTCGAAGAAAGGTCACATTACTTAAAAATAAGTCAAAATCGTTCATAACTTATCACTAAAATTTGTGATTGCGAAATTCTAGACATCATTGGATCCTTTTTTACAATAACTATCGTGAAACATACTAAATAGACTAAAAATCGGGACATCGCCGCTATCGCGCACGCTACTCATGAGGAAGAACCCCTCTATGGTTCGAAACTAGTTGAGCTTTTCTCAGTATATTCACGTGAGTAACCCGTGATTTGTAGTTAATTAATTGGATCCATTATTAATAAATCATTAACTTACTTATAATAAAAAAACACTTAAGTTATATTCTGTAACTGTCAATTCAAACTAATAAAGTAAGTTCAATCGCGTTCTCGCCCGTCATTGGTCGAGATTATTCTCACAACCAATAACATGGCGGAGCAGCCAATAGCCAATAACCAAATGGCCAATGACCAATAGCCTAGCAGGTCTTTATTACTTAGAATCTACACGAAAAAAAAAAACAAAAATAAACTTAAACCTATCACTCACCTGTAATGCATAATGAGGCTTTCTTCGCTCTCCAAAGGATTATTTTGCTTTGGACCGTCAACAACAGGGTCTTCAGACTCTGAGTCTATAGGAGTACCAGAATCCTTCTCCAGTGAAAAGTTCTCCTTGTCGAAGACGACCCGTTCTGTATCCCATTTGGAGACCTCTGATAGTAAGGTTACTGCATTCTGATGTAGATTTATAAAGGTGTTTACCTGTGGATAAAAAAATAAAGCTAATGTCCAGCTGTGTTCTATAAGTTCGACCTAAATTTGGGTGACCTAAAATCGATCCGGAATGACAAACCATGTCTTAAAAAGTGAAGACATTCCGGTTAATGGTGGCAATTTTTTTACTAACAACGATTGGTCAAAAATTATAAACTACAACTTTTTTACTTTTATGTTATTTCTCAACAGACTAATCAGACTGCGCTTAATGTTCCTAATGTAGATTTTTTTAGAAATGTAACATTTATCTTTTAAAAATAAATTGCTATCGGAACAGGCCATCTACCATCATTGACGACAAACCGAGGCTATAAATAAAAAAACCGTGATAAAACTAAAGCGGTAATATCAAAACTAGTAATTACATTCTAGGTCACATTAAAATACGTTACAACAACGCAACAAGTAGGTACTAAATTTATGTTTAGCTATAAATAAAGTAAATTAGTCGTCAGTCGCTTTGGCATAATTATGTATGAGCGAAATAATTTCCATTTTGAGTCCGTTAATCGACAAGTTTAAGTCAATCAATGGTGGTCGAGCTCGAGACCTATAAAAAAACATTGCTCAAGTCACAAATGATGAAGGACATCATGATAAGGCAAGGGTTGCATTTTGTGTAGGCACACATATAAACGAAAATCCAACGAGTGAATTAAAAAACCTGTGCCTTTAGCCAAACGCCACTTTAGCGCTTGTCTACTGAGAGAATAGAAAACTAAATGTATGGGGATGACAGTGACAAGTGTCAAAATTTACGTCAGACAAGCGCTAAATGGCATTTGGCTACAGCTGCTGTTTACCTATTTGATTGGCAATGACATTCGAAAAATTTAGTCAAAACATGTCAAGCTCATAGGTACATTACCTTTCGGGACCTTTCCTATTGAATCGTTCGACTAGCGATTAAATGCCGTTAATCCACAGGGGTTTAATAATTACCTATAGATAAATCAGAGGCCTCAGAAATTACTTGAAATCATATTATGCATGCATGGTGATTATTAGTGGTTAATGCTCGTTATCCGTATTGTAAGACTTTTCCGGTTAACACAACCGGCATAATTTACGGACTAATCGTAGCGTCTATCCAACTCAAACCACAACGGATTAATTTTGATTCATTATTGATGATGATGACTAGTATCAATTACGCTAATCCAGTAAGAACTTAATCCAGTCAAGATTCTAGAAGTTCAAACCTAAAGGGCTATATATAACTACTTCCTAAACTAATTTCAGAGTCATAGAGATAAAAATAAGCTGAACCTACAATAGTTTTCGTAAAATACAGATAATAATATTTTATCATAATATTTTCGCTGTCCATTTTAATCACAGAATTGAAGTCATTTGCCGTGATTTAATTGGGAAGATAAGCTATTACAATTTAAAGGAAACACATTTTTTATAAATATCATCTAATATGGCTGCTCCTCAATAATTGTAATTATGTTTTTGGTTTTCTATATTTGTATGAGAATTTTCTAGAATATGGGTGTTGTACCTACCTAAAATTATGATAGTTTGTTCTGTGGGTGAAAATATTGACACCAGATGGTGCCAAGATTAAACACATCGTTTCACATGCCACACAAATAAGACTAGGGGCAGCAATTTGTAGATGGCTGCACAGGTAATCTAACAGTTTGCTGCAAAACAAAATACACTTACCCGATCATTATCATTGTCAGAAATACATGAGTCCATAGCTCTATTTGCCACAGACTTCGCCTCTGTCAACGAAGTCTGCAGAGCTAACGCGGACATTTCCGATGACTTCTGCATATTAGCGGCTTCCAACAACATTTTACTTTTTTCTTCGAAAATTGCTGCTATTTTTTCGTCTGCAGCTATATTTATTTGTTCCGCTATTCGATCACAGCGGTCCTGGAGTGTAAAATTTGATGATTAAGTATAGTTTATGAGTTTATCTTCGTAGTTCTTAACTACTTTTGTATGGGAATAGGCTGATTTATGCAAGGCGTGTGCTAACAAGCCATGCATAAATCAGATATCTATCATGACAGACTATCTGATAAAGGGCAGGGCAGTGAGTGATATGATGATGTGCTAACTGCATAATATAGCGTAACTGCTTGCATGTATTTTATTTGTTACACATGTTTTCGTATTATTGATGGGTTTTTCAAGAACACTGACCTAACCTAACTTCATATTGATTTGACATTTGTTTATCTGCTGTGCATAAATACACAGCGGGTACTGGGTGCACACCCAGATTCGGAACAACAATTTATGGATCACATAAAGAATTGTTCCGTGTGGGTCTTCTACTTGTGCAGTCAAAGACCTTCTATTAAGGTCACAATTTATAACTTATTAACAATGACTTCAACCAATGCCAACTTTAATATCAAAACATCAAAAGATAGCTAATACTTAGAAAAACTGTTCAATTATGAGTAACATGTAAACAGTAATGGGTAGTGCTCGATAAAATTCACTTATCAACATAATTAAAGTAGATTACTCAATTATATTTGTGTGTGTGTTGGTCACAACCACATATAAATATTTGTTCTTTTGTTATCCTCGTTTCGCAAAATCTTGACAAAGGATGTTTGTCGAACGAAATATTCCAGTCACGTACCTTATAATGTTCAATTTTGTGCTCAAGATGACTGGCGGCCGTGTCCAGCTGTTTCACAATAGATTTTAGTTGGATCCGCATATCTTCCAAATGCTGTGACCAACATATGCGGCAGAATTTCTAAAAACGACGTGTACATCGGTAAATAATAAGATAATAAGCAAAAAGAATAAGAAGGAAACATGTTTCCCTTACCAGTTTGCAGTGATCGCATTGTGTGATATCGAAATTTTCGCACATGCTTTTACATTGAACGCATCTCGTACCAGGATTGAAGAAGTCATTGTTTTGTGTGTTATTTGTAACGGATGGTGGAGGGGTTTCCAAATTCTTTGCTACCCCATTAGTGTTAACACCCACCAGCTGTAGCAATGAATCTATGTACAGATTTGACGGAAGGTTCTCGATAAACTTAGGTCCAAGTACTTGGACTCTCGTCCGACACAACGGACACTCAAATATTACTAAATCTGTGGACAAAAACAATTACCCCTGTCACATGTATCACACATGGTCATTGCCAATATGGTAAGCAATTACTGTAATTAGTTACAAACCAGCGACGTAGACAGACAGGCAGGCCGCACAGAAAGTGTGTTGACACGGTAACATCTTTGGATTGTGCAGTACTTCGAGGCAAAGAGCGCATTGTATCAACTCTGAGATACCGCCAGCAGATAACCTGTTTGTGATGATTGGATTGCATTATTTTGCACGATAAACATGGATTCAAGGGTAAATGAAACGATTGAACTTGATATTTTTATGGACCTGTCTTTGGCTTTCGAGAGTTAATAAGACAATTTACAGTGGAACTGTTGTTTCCAAAAGTTTGTCGGTCAGGTTATTGCATCAGATCTAGTGTTTGGTAGAACCTTTCAATTTGTTAAATGGACACTCGTGTAGGAGGTTAATCTGGCTACCTACTTATCGGGCACACGCCAACGGCATTCTTAGCTAAACTGTCGACTAGAACAAGACGTAATAAGATCGATCAATGTAATTAATGTCTGCGATATAAGTAGTACTCACTTTCTAGGCTTTAAATCGAAATTAAGTTTCTTCGGTGAGGATGGTGTATTTGACCTGAACTGTGGATGGCCGTCCTGAAGCTGTGCACTTGTAGGCGTCATCGGAGTCTTCAGCCCAATCTCTTTAGCACTTTGCCAACGCTTTAAAGTAAAGAACGGCGGTCTTTTTACCTTCTCAGCCATTTTAATCACTTTACACTTCAAAATTCAATTGTAGACTGAAGCACCCGGCAGTTCTATCGACCATTATCAGATAACACATAATTATACGACAATCTTACTTATTACAGATTTAAATTTGATTAAAACATCGATTCGCTAGATAAGATTATATTATCTAAGTATTTTCAAAAAACTTATTTATGTATTTCGATTATCGCTTTAAATAAAATAAAAACAGCGCTGTCCTGCATAAATGTCGGTGTGAAATCGAAACCAGTGGGACGTACCTACGTAGGTACACGAAGCCTTACTTCGTTTTGTCTCGTAATAAAACGGAACATAAATACCATTGATCCTCTTCAGCCACATTGTACTTTATGTATGAGAAAGTTATCAAAATAAATGTAGGCTTTTAGGTTGCCATATATTTTAGGGGGAGGCCGATGCATTATAACGGTGAAAACAGGTGAAGTAAATGCCTGAGGCTCCTTGCCGAATTTGGGCACATCTGCAAACCAGTCGGGTATTCTTTTATCAGTTTAATGTTTTTCTATTTTATTATTGTGTTAATCTTCTGTCGTTATTGTACTCCCGCAAGCAAGTAAGCGACCGGTTGCTACATTTTTTGCCAAGTTGAAAAAGTCGCGCTACCAGTCCAATTACTAAGAAGAAATGTATTCAGGCAAAACTAAAGCAATTTAGCAACTTTTCTAAATGTACAATTATTTTTAAATGGACTAAAACTTACTAGAGTCAAGATGCTAAGTTTTTAAGATGGTCAAAGTCGGTTTGTAGACCATATTATAAAGTATTGTGGACAAAATATTGAGTGACCTTTTTAAAGTCATTTCCATTTTTTGTGGATTTGTATTAATTTTATTTACAAAGGTTTTTAGAAGTATGTACATAATAGGGTATTAATTATCTACCCTATGTAGGTACGCTTCTTTTAGAATTAAATATCACTGGTTCACAGGATATACAAATATCTAATAGTATTAGGGATGTGTGAAATAACCGTGTTACTATAAAGTCTATCCGACAGATCAGGGTGAGCGGCTTTGCGTCTGCGCAACCATTCTGTCAATTATAATCGAAGGTACACTTGTTTAGTGCATACGCCATCTTAGTTCTTCGTACCACTCATTCGAAATTCTAATCATTCAGGAAAAATGCTGGCCATGATGTCATAAATATCTGCAACTGTACCATGTCAGAAGTGTTTACCTAATAGAGTAGTACTCAATTTTTTTTAAATGTCCGTCTATTAGAGTTTGAAAACATTAGACACGTATAATATCGTGTGACGTCACGATTTACTACATTTTATAGGGTAGCGTTACGTAACGACCTCCCACTCCTAAATTTAATTCCAATTTATCTAAGTACTAGCTTTTACCCGCGGCTTCGCTTGCGTCACAAAAGGATAAAAGTAGCCTATGTGACATATACCAATACACACAGCGCCATCTATACCAATTCTTTTTTTCCCTTGGGAATATCATAATTTTCCGGGATAAAAATTACCCTATTATTTAATCCGGACCTCTAACTTTACGTCTGCAAAAATTCAAAGCAATCGGTTTAGAAGTTACGGCGTGAAAGCGGATCAAACAAACAAGCAAACAAACTCACTTTCCCATTTAAAATAGTATATAATAAGGATTGTTTTCCTTATACGACCAAATAAATATACGTTTAATATTTTTATTATCTAACTGACGGACTGATTACATTTTTAATTTTCATATACTGTCTACTACCCTATATGATCCGCCGTATAAACTCAAAGTTCCAGTTTTTCAAAAACTCATTGATTTACGTAAGTAATACTTACCTGTGTCATAATTTCATCAATCAAGATCATAATCAATTTATAATAAAATATTCAATATTATAATCAATTTCGTTTCATCTATAAGTAATTTAAGCTAGTAACTGATAATCATTAATTGCATGTTATCTGCTTACGTATTTTTATTATTTATCGCTTCCTTTCACAATTAAATAAAAACAGTCGTTTTGATGTGTTCATAATAATTTGTAGGTATGTCTTCAATGAGTCTGTGGACTTATAACATAAATAGTGAAGAGTGGGTGTTACATTTTACAATGGCATTAAGTGCCGTAATGTGCACCTCTGCATAAGGGCGGTTATTTTTGAAACTTATGTCAATGTCAATTCAATGTCAATCCAATAAAAGTAGATGTAAGATAATTATTCATTAAAATGTAAGATAATTATTCAATGTCAACATTATGCAGCCCGAATCAAAGCTATTCAAATAGCATACATAGCCTACGGAACATAAAGGAAAATTCTATACCATTGCCTGCCTCGTTAGCCGAATGGTCGCAAGCGTGACTGCCGGCCGGGCAAGGGGTCTCCCGGGTCGGACAAAGTCCCTACCACTGGGTTTAAAAAAAATCTCAGTGTTAGCACGGAGTCTGGAATTGTGCCCGGTATATGACAATAGGCTCACCCCCTATTACACGGGACTCATAATATAAGGGACTCATAATATAAATAGAGAAAAGTGGGTGTTACATTGTAGAGTGGCATAAAATGTCATAATGTGCATCTCTACCTACCCCTTTGGGGATAAAAGGCGAGATGTTATTAAAGATGTTATTCTATACCATTTAGTTCATTTAATACACACGGAAGACGGATGCAATGGGCGCAAGTGTTACAATTCAAGGTTAGGCACCCTACGAAGTTTCACAATATCAAGGTTTGGATTTATTGATCGGAATTAGATTCAACCTTAGTTCGATAAAAACATAAAACCTAGCTTGTGAACTCTTAAAGGTTTAGATAAGTAGTATCGTAAGGATTATTTGCCATAATACTATGTAATTATTGTCTTAATGTAACCAAGTTTAAAATTCAGGAAATCACTTAAAACAAGTCCAAGGTAATGGGCCGATAATAGAAAGCAATAAAACAATTTAATATCTACAAAAATAAAAAAGATAAGTACACATTTTAGTTTAATGTTCGTCATTTTAATGGGTGCTAGTAAGTACACTAATGTACTAACATATTAATGATCTAAGGAGAATGGGGCCTATCGTATTTGGCTCACCAGTCACCAGATAGTCCTAGTGTGAACCTCTCGTTCTTCGTCCAATAGGGAAAATAGCTAGTGTCACGCAATTGAAAGTTCTATATTTGACAGCTGCTGTGACTGGACAAAAATCCCTTCCGCCTTTTGCGCCACCTGGTGAGAAAACAAACGTAAGCCCCCATTACAGCCCCCACTGGCTATTAATGACAAAATCATTTACAGCCAGTTTCATTAAATGATCTCAATAAAAAATCTTTAGATTAAGATCGACTTCTGACATTTTCTATAGAATTTCTGTCAAAATTCAAAATCGATTTAGAAACTTTGATTTATTATTTATATTAAGATCGACTACTAAAATCGGCAGTAATTAGGTTCAACTACCTCTACAGTAACTGAATAAATTTGACAACCTATTACAAAATACCGATAAGGGTTTCTTTAAGGTAGAAAAATCATCCATGACTTCTCCCGCCCGGGTGAGGCGTTTCTATAACCTATCTATCTGTAGATTTGCTTACTAGAGATAGAATTTTGACACATTATGTATGGAGCTCATGTCAAAATTCTATCTCTAGTAAGCAAATCTACAGATAGATAGGTTATAGAAACTGGACGTAAATGACTAAAAACCACCCCGTTCCTACTCCTGCTCTTCGAGCCGGAGCCCCGGTAGCTTGATAAGGGTAGCTTAATGTGCTGGCGTCTGCAAAAACCTATTCCATTGGCACTGACTTACAAAATGGTTAACAGACAAGCAAACAATGGGAAAACCTCAACAAAGTCAACAGAAGGAAGGCAAATGACCATGAATCATGCCCACAGATAGAATATAAGTACTTCTTACTGATATAAAAATAATACTTTTATTGCCTTGCTTATTGCAAACGGATGTCATGTGACGTCACTTATCAATAATTTCTACGAAGCACATACGAACGAGTAATTTGCACATAAAGAAGTACCGCGAACTTGGATTTAAGCGTGAATTTTAATTTATTGTTCAGTTGATGAATTAATTGGACGTATTACGTAATTAAAGTAATCTACATGTTAAAAATTGTTCGTACTTAAAAACCACTTAAAAAAAATGAATGAAATTGGTTGAAAATAACCGCTTACTTACATAAAACTGTTGAGAAAATATTCTACTAAGGTACTCTTTATGATACATCGATAAACTGCATCATTGCTAATAGCTAGTGACCATAAATAATGCAATAAGAAAAATTTCATTACTTGCATTAGCACTTCTAGTAGTATCGTAAATCGTAGAGAAAAACACAAAACGAAAAAAAAAAAATCCGAACAAAAAATATATGAAGAAAGTTTTCATGACAAAAATAAAATAAAAAATATTGCGATGTTCTCGCATGAAGATGGTTAACAAGTAGCTCTCAACTTGTGTGCACCGTAAGGTACATTAATTTTTAAGTAGGTATATCTAGAAAGTCCTTGTGTGACTACATCTGAACAGGAAATAAGTAGGCAGGTCTCTTTGCACTGCTCTTAAAGTGTATCTTCACTAATATTATTAAAACAGGGAAAATATTTGATCGTTTGTATTAAACATGCTCCGAAACTACTGGACCGATTTGAATGAACTCTTTCAAGATTGAAAAGCTTATTTTTCGTGAAGTAACATAGGAAGGCTTTTATCGTGACATTTTTACATGGTCTGGTACCGAACCCTATATTTTCGTGGAAAAACTTTTTTCTTTTTGTATGATAGGTACATTATCTCACAATATAATGCTCTTCAGTTTCGCATACAAACGTACAAATCCATATATTGACGTCAGATCCAGACTCGGAATGTTAAAAAGGACCTAGCTTCTGATGAGAAAAATTAGGGAGGGTAAGATTCCTACATCACTCAAATTATCCTCGTGGTCACTATTAGTACCTATCTATAAGGAGCACCGAATACTCTGAATCTCGACCTACCTA